ACACGCTGATCCTTATGGATATGATGTTACGTTTAATTCTAGATCGAATGGTCGAAGACAATAAGTAAATTCAATGTCAAATTCTTGATATTTTAAATCTAGAATTAAACGTGACATGATCATATACGGACCAAAAATATAATACTGCCACGTAAAAATAAGATGATCATAGAATGAAAAATGATTATTAATATACCCGTAAATCGTTTTACGAGTTTTTACAAGTGATATAATCAATTAAAATGCAATTTTTATATTTTACCGAACGATCGATTTACTTACGATGCTTGAACAATCTCGATTGTTAATTCGAATTAATCAAAGATCTTGCGGCAGTAAATCAGGAAATATGTAGATTTGATTTAGTAAATAAATAATTTATTATCCTCGCGAGTGTACAAATAAATATAAAGGAGATAATATATATATATATATATATATATATATATATATATATATATATATATATAAAAAAGAAAAGAAAAATTATACACAATCATTGAAAATTAATCAAAGAAAGTACCAGATTTGAATAATTTCGAATAAACTTATATCCAGGAAAAGAAAAAGAAAAAAAAAAAAAAAAGAAAAAAAAAATTCGTGTCATTTCTAATTCTTGACTACAATTTAGGCCAGTAGTCATCCTACGGACATTATCAATTTCAAATATGGTCTTCGATCATTTCATTTCGTATATAATCATACCTTTCTCCTTCAACATTATTCTACGATCTCACTACGTGTTCTCGTACTTGATATGAGGAGGAAAGTTCGTCAGTTATCGTTTCAACTATTGTGATATATGACGAGCGTTTTGATAAAAAAAAAAAAAAAAAAAAAAAAAAAAAAGAAAAAAAAAAAAGAAAATTCTCGTAAGAAAAAGAAAACAAGAGAAAAAGAAAAAAAAAAGGAAAAAAAAAACAAAGAGAGACGGTCGACTTCGTGAATAAATAATATACCCGTTGTGTGTTTATTATTTATTTAATATTCATCCTTATATTATCATTCAAAAATGAGAACACATCTCTTCAGCTTTGCACCGGAAAATAAAATAATTCAATAAGCTTTCGTATTTAAAAAACTTCAAAAAGACGTGTCTTTACGGGGCTTATCCGAAATATATAACAAATTTAACAGAAAACACGTTTTTAAATATGTATAATATATAATATCTGCGAGTAACATCGACGCGACGCTATGATACAAGAATCGGGGGTGGGGGGGTGGTTGGGAAGGGGGAATGGTAAGGAAAGGGAAGAGGTTATAAACAGAAACGAATGTTTCGGGATATGGGGGAGGCGGATGGTCTCGTGAGACCATAGATATACCGATTTTTTTTTTTTTTTTAATTTAATCTTAATAATGCGAATCCCTATTAATCTCGCTTATCACGAGACATATACGTCTAATCGACGAATTAAAAAAATTATCGGGGCTTTTCTCGGCCCCCTACCTGCCCTCACTCCTTCACCTTTTCTTTCTTTTTTCTTTTCTTTTTTCTTTTTTATGTATGTGTGTGTGTGTATGTATGTATGTATGTGTGTGCATGTGTGTATGTGTATTTTTGTTTTCTTTTCTTATCATCCTCTATTTCTTTCTCATCACTTTCTTCTTCTTTTTCTTCTTCTTCTTCTTCTTCTTCTTCTTTTTCTTCTTCTTCTCCTTCTCCTTCTTCTTTTTCTTCTTCTTTTTCTTCTTCTTCTTATTTTTCTTATTCTTATTCTTATTCTTATTCTTATTCTTATTCTTATTCGCGAAATACGAGACTTCGAATCGGAATTAAATGCAGACGGGGATTCGAGCAACGTTCAGATTTATAATTATACGACGCTGTCGATTAAAATAATTCGTTCACAATATGTATTCGCAAATCCCTAATGCCTCGACAATGTTTTTTATCCTTACTTATTTTTTTTCCCTTTTTTTTTTTCTTTTTTTTTAATCATTTAAACTATGTACAAGAGAGTCTTCTATATTATATATATCAAGTCCTTAAATCCATTATACACACTACATGTAGACTTAAATTATAAATTAATATTAAAATAATAATAATAATAATAATAATAATAATAATAATTATTATTATTATTAATAATGATAATGATGGTAATAATAATAATAATAATAACAATAATAATAATAATAATAATAATAATAATAATAATAATAATAATAATAATAATAATGATAATAATGATAATAATAATAATAATAATAATAATAATAATAATAATAATAATAATAATAATAATAATAATAGTACGATAACTAATCGTGAAAGCGAGCCCAATGAAAGTGACACCGGACTTTTAAAGCTCGTCAAAAAAAACCTGACCCTTTTATTGAAGCCCGAGTTTAATGAAAGAAACGCGCCCCTCCTCGTACCTTTCTTCTTTCCATTTTTGATTTGTCCAAACAAAAACAAAAGAAAGATAGAAAAGAAAAAAAAAGAACAAAAAAAAAAAGAAAAAAAATAAAATAGAAAAAAAAAAAGAATGAGCGAGAAGAAAAAAGCTTAAGCGAACTAATTGTTAAAATCTATGAATAAAAAGAGAATAAATATGGCAAATTATAAATGCAAAGAGATATTATTCTAGAAATATTCGTTCGAACATTAACAAAAACGTACTTACATATATATATATATGTATATATATATATATATATATATATATATATATATATATGTATATATATATATATATATATGTATATATATATATATATATATATATGTATGTGTGTGTGTGTTTATAAAAAATTGAATCGATCTTTAATACGAAGAAAAGCGAGATCTTTCGAGAAAAACAAAACTTGTTTTTCGATTTAGGCTCTTAATATTCGGGATTTTAAAAATCGATGATAACGATGTAAATGGAGCCAGACGATTTAGGGCCCTTCGAAGAGGCCCAAACGAAAAAAAGAAAAAAAAAAAGAAAGAAAAGGGTCGGTTTTTTCATTCCTTTCTTATTCGATCGCTAAAACTCTCTCGACGCGGACGAGCGTCTCGGAAGATGATGAGTTTATTTCATATTTTTTTTTTTTTCATTTTATTTATTTTTTATTTATTTTTTAAATGGAGCACGATTTTTCACGGGGTTTTTTTTCTTGCAATTTCCTCTATGATAATAAAGGGAGGACTAGGAGTGGACGGGGGAGGATCGACATCTAATTTTCATTGATTAATTCCGATACGTATACGCCGTTATATATATAATATTATGTATATGCATCATACATAGTACTTTGAATTGTATATCGTTTTTTTTTTTTTTTTACTTTTTTTGTTCCATTATTTATAGAGTTTTGTCGTAAACCACCGATACGCTCGAGCATTCGATCGATTCCGATTTCTACACCCAGCGATTACTAATCGTTACTTCCTTCTTCTAATCGAGCTCGGGTATGTGCGTGTATATGTGTATGTGTGTGTGTGTGTATTTTATGTGCGTGTATGTACGCGCGCGCGTGTCTCTATCTCTCTCTTCATCTCATTCTTTCCTCGTGAAGTAGCTCGTTCTCTCTCTTATTATTATTATTATTATTTATTTATTTTTTTTTTCTACGATTAAAAACTCTTGCGACTATTTACGAGTATCTTGTTCTACAAGTTTATACGTGACAACGACGAAGGACGAAAGTTCGATGTTTAGACGTTACGCGTGTTTGAATAAAAGTATATAAAGATCTTTTCGTCAATGGATTATTTTGTAAAATAAAAAGCAAAGACTAAAAAAAGAAGAAAAAAAAAAAAAGAAGAAAAGAAAAAGAAATGCAAATAAATCTTTGGCCTTCTCGATAATAATATTGTCATTATAAGTGGGAAGGAACAAAAGAAAGAAAGAAAAAAGAAAGAAAAAAGAAAGAAAAAAAAATATATATATATATATATAAAAGAAAAAGAACGCAGAAAATTTCGATTTATCTTTTACTAATACGATTTTTGAAAAATCGGACCAATCACATCGATCGAGTAGCATATAATCGTCATCGTCGTTGTCATCGTCGTCGTCGTCGTCATCGTCATTGTTGTCCTCGTCCCTTTTCTCGAGATTCTCCAATATATTATATCTATAAATTGTCAAAAGAAAATTCGTGTTTAGATCGTCGATCAAAAGATTCTCTTTCATTCGTTTAACTTTCCTCCTTCGATCGTTTGTCGATCGAATATAAAATCGAGTATGAGTTTGTAATAGGTAATCGTATGTAATATATGTGCTTTGTAGAAAGTTTGAAAGATGCGCGCGCACGGAAATGAAAAATTCGAAGTATGTATTAGAAGAAAAGAAAAGAAAAGAAAAAAAAAAATAATAATAATAATAACAATAATAACAATAATAATAATAATAATAATAATAATAATAATAATAATAATAATAATAATAATAATAATAATAATAATAATAATAGTAATAATAATAATAATAATAGTAATAATAATAATAATAATAATAATAATAATAATAATAATAATAATAATAATAATAAAAGAAATAACGAGATAAAAAAAAGAAATAAAAAGATTCAAGAGAAAGAAGGAGCCACTGGAGGAATCATCTCTTTTCATCCTTTCTTTATAATCCTAATGCAATGTACATGAGAGAGATGATTATATATATATATGTATGTTTATATATACATATATATATATATATATACACTCATATATATACACACACATATATAGATATATATATATATATGTATATATATATATATATGTATATAGATGATACCGCGACTTCGTAAAAGGAAATACAACGGGAGAGAAATGAAAACGTGACATCGTTGTTCGCAATTGCTTGAGTAAGGATATGGATAGCACAGCGTGGTCTGTTCCTGCCAACTTTCCACGCATTTCGCTCTTTCTCTCTCTCTCTCTCTCTCTCTCTCTCTCTCTAATCTTTTTCTTCCTCTTTTCTTCTTTCTTTTTTTTTCACTTTTTCTTCTTCCTCCTCTTCATCTTCTTCTTCTTTTCCTTCTTCTTCTTCTTCTTCTTCTTCTCCTTCTTCTTTTTGTCTTTCGTTCGTTCGTTCGTTCGTTCGTTCTTCTTCTTCATCTTCTTCATCTCTCTCTTTTACGTCTCGAAGTGTAGCCGCTCCTGAGACGTCGCGGCTCGGATATGATGATTCGAGGGGTTTCATAGGAAGAGGTGAACGAACGAATCTCCGACGGTCCTTCGTATGTCCCTTCGTTCGTCCCATTGATCCTATTTATTACTTCGTTCGATTTTCTTCCAATGGCACGATTTAATTTGACCGCGAAAGACTCGTCCTTTTTCACGTTCTCTTCTTTTCCACCTCCTCCAGCTCCTTCCCCATCTCCTTCCACCTCCTTTACCCTTTTCTTCCACCTCCTTTGAAAACTCGTTCGTCCTCGAACTCGAACGAGACAGCCTGACACGGTACCGTCCTCCTATCGGGCTCGAGCCGAACGATACTACGCCTCGATCTGATCCTCCGGGCTCATTATGTCCGGTGCCATCGACAGGTCCTCTGCAATATCCTCGTCCTGTCCCGAATCGTGCTCGTGACTTTCTGGATATTCTCTCTCGTCCACCTGATCCTCTTCCGCCTCCTGTTCCGTTGGCCCATCCAGCATCTCGCGTTTTATTAATCTCGTTAGCTTACCACCCTCCGGGCTTTGCCCTTCCTGCTTTATGTGCACTGCTGGTTCATCCAGTGGCGACCTGTTCTCGATTTAACGACATCATCGTAATAATTAGATCATTTCGATACATACATACATACATACACACATATACATACATACATATATATATATATATATATATAAATATATATATTTATATATCTTATATATCTTTGTATTTTTCTAATATTTTCTTTTCTTTCTATATCCTCTCAAATAATTTTATATAACTTCAAATTTTTTAATTTCTATCCGTGCTTCATGATATCGCTTGAATTAGCACAACGTTATCAAATATTTTATAAGATTCGAATGGAAAATAATCAATATGATATAAAAATGTGTATAATAAGATTATAATAAAATTAGAATTTAATCGGATATTAATTTTTTTTTTTTTTTAAATAGAAAATTCGAATATTTAAAATTAACGTTTTCGATATTTGCCACGTTTATATCTTATTTTATCTGTTTAAATAGACGATTACGATGAGCTTACTTACATTAGATCGTTGTGAGACAAGACGTGCTCTTTATCCGGGCTCGTTGCTGTCGACGTACACATCGAGTTATTTAAAAATCCCATATTAGACTCCCCGAGTGCAGCCTGGAAATACTCAAATTGCATTAGACGGTTAGTTATCGATGCCTCTTGTGCTTTCGCTGATTTTTTTATAGATGCATTCGTCACACACACACACACACATACACGCGTATACACACGCATACAAATACGTGGATACACACGTGGACATACACGGGCAAACACATGAACGAAATCTTCTCGAGTCTCTTCGAAATACGATCGAAAAGTGCTTACGAGAGGGAAGAAGCAATAATCAATGTTTCTTTGATTTGCAGTTTAGATGGCTATAAAGATGTCTTCGGTAGGCTTAGAATTTATTTTCACATCTGTCGTTCATCCATTTTTATATGTATGTACGCGGCGTAAGGCTCGACTTTATTTCCAAAATAGTAAAGAAGAAACAATCATTTTTTTTTTTTTTTTTTTTAAATTACTATTGGACTTACAAATCATTATACCTAATTGCCGTAGTGACATATACGTCACGTTTATTTTAACCCTTACATGTATGTGGATCGTGAAATTAGAACATATTAATATTTAATAATAAACTTAACATAGTTTCTCATGACAATTGTGACAATTGTATAATTTTTCTATTATATTATCCCTTTGATATGGTGAATAGAAATAATATAATATTATTATAAAAATTTCTTTAGACTTTGGATTTTAATTTATAATCGATAATATTAATAATTAAGTATAGTTTTACTTGAAATTTTTAATATTAGAATAAAAAATAGTCTAATTGTTGATAGTTACCTGGAGGTTGGCATTTAGAGCGTCACCATACATCGTAGGACTATGAGTGAGCGTTGGACTTTTCGATGGTACGCCCCTAAATATCGACAGAGAAAAATACGTTAGAAATACATGGGATAGTTTTACGATAGTCGTTTCCTGAAAAAAAAAGAAAAAAAAAAAAAAAAAAAAAGAAGAGAAAAAGAAATGACTGATCTGAGTAGTATCTTAGTCTCGTGTCTACGTGTAC